GGGTGTAGGCCCGAAACGTCAGCTTTCCTGCTCCTCTGATGCTGCTTGGCCTGCTGGGTTCATCCAGCTCCACACCTTGTTATCTCAGATTCTCCAGCATCTGCAGTTCCTACTATCTCACAAATAAGTTGCTTGGGTTTGACCATTTGCGGATATTAAGTATAAACAAGTAGAACATATTTAATTACAGAGGCTTGTCAGTAAGTATTAGCTACAATGCCACTACCGTTAATGTAACACAGAACATCTTACCATTCTTGTGGAGGTAAAAGATGGCACTGGCCAAGCTGGATACAATGTGTTTTGTTTCAGATTCACTCAGGTGGCCTTTCTCTTCCAGAATTCCCTTCAGCTCCCCAAGCTCGCAGAATTCAGTGACAAGGTAGACTTTCTAACAGAACGGAGAAGTGGAAGAGAATAGAAGGTCTTTGGTTAACTGTTGCCTTTGTAGAGTCATGGAGCCCCATAGTCATACATTTTGATGTCACCCAGTAAAAGAGTGGCAGAATGTGAAACAATTTACTCAATGAGTGAGACAGGAAGAGAAATGGCTATCTTTTATAGGCTGCCAAAAGTAGTTTCACTTGGGATCGTTCCATTAGCACTGAGAGGAGATGTTAATTCATCAGGCAGGATTGTATTCTAACCCAGGAGTTGATTCTCTAAAGCAAGGCATGTAATGGATGGTGCTGCATGTGTAAAGCAGCAATCAAAAAACAAGCCTTCTCTTAAATATACTACATTTTAAAAAGAGTCGATCGACTCCACCACTGCTGCACACATGATATTAAAGATCACTAACTCTAGTGTCAGATTTTTGTCAATACCATGGTGTCATTCTTGAAACTGATCCAGCTTTCTCAGAGTGTCAGGATGTCTGACTGTCCTGTATATATCTGTCAGCCAGGGCTCCCTGATTGGACCAGATCGACAGCCCCAATCAGGGAACTCATACTCTATGAGGTCCACCTGGCTGGCCTCGTTACAATCACTACAGTGCCATCTGTAGGCAGGAGCTGGAGATGCACAGGAAAGATCAATGTGTCGCCTCACAGTGATGAGGTGCCCTCCTACTGATCCCACTGACTCTGACATCACTGGCAATCACTGCTCTAAACTGCTTGAATTAAACTTCAGACTGCAGTTATATTTCACTGATAGTACTTAACTGTCACTGTGACTGTCTTACTTGTCTCTTTTTAAGTCGAATGACTTTATAAATTTTTGGAGTATATTTAATATTTTCCACAGTACAAGGTATTGGGTAACCTGATGAAAACTAAGCCCTGCTCTCCAGCTCTCTGTAGGTGGGTAACGCAAGTCTTTGAGTTAGATCCGGACAAGAGTAGAAATTCCCAAAAGTACAGCTTCAGAACGAAGGAAGTAATAACAAATAGGAATTGCAGTAATCTCCCAGGACTGCTTTTTCTTTCAAAAACAACAAATGCTGGAGATCATAGCAGGTCAGACAGCATCCATGGAGAGAGAGAAGCTAACGTTTCAAGCCAGAGCTGAAGTGAAGTGTGAAGGGGACAGCATTTAGATACAGTTGGGGGACTCTGTGCGGGTAGGGTGCTGGGGGGAGAAAGGATGTTGATATTTCAGATTAAGTGATCGGAATGTGAGAATGGCAGAACGTTGGTGTGTCTATCTGCCAGACTGGAAAGAACAGACAGTCCCACTGGGGTAGGGGGAGAGGAGAGAGGACATGATAACAGAGAAAGTAACAAGCAAAGCTAAAAGAAAGGGGAGGAATGGTAATAAATAAAGCTAAAAGAAAAAGCAAAATTGTGGTCATTCACTTTGGCATGAAGAAAGATCAGAAAAAAACTTCTTAATTGTGAAAAGTTAGAAGCAGTGAAGGTCAAAAGAGACTCAGGGCTCCATGTACGTTGATTTAAAAAGTCTCCAAAAGGTATAAGGAAAATCAACAAGTCCATTGGAATACTGGGTTCATATCAAGATGTTTATAAAAAATAGGGATCATAAATCATAGAATAGCCAGACAAAGATTTGCGTGGATCAAATGGAGTACTGAAGTATTACGTGGAGTAGTGTATTCAGTTCTGGAAATGACACTACAGCAATGATATATTCATCTCTGTGGGACAGCAGCACTGTTTTACTCCAATGAGGAGATCTTTCATGGTATGTAGGGATCATTTATTGCCTTCTCTCTAATTGCCCATTGAGTGGTTTCCTCAGCCATTTCAGCTGGAAGTTAAGGCTCATCCATGTTATTGTGGGTTTGGAGTCACATGTAGGCCAGACCAGGTAAGGATGGCAGATTTCATTCCCAAAAGGACATTAGGGAAACAGATGGTTCAGTGATAGCTAACTAAATTCAGTCAATGTTAGCAAGATCTAGTCTAGTGGTTATCAATACTGAAGCTAGCTTTCTATTCCAGATTTTACTCATTTCATTTTCACTAGCTGCAATAGATTTGAACCTGCTGTGTCCTCCCAACAGTTTGGCTGTCTAGAATATTAGTCCAGTGACACAAGGATGATTCCACTGATCTCCCCACTGTCACACAGCCTCTGAAAAGAAAGCTTCGAACTAAATAACATTGAGAATTATACGAGTTTGTATTTGCACTTAAGTAGTTTGTGTACATAATTGATTTCGAAAGAGTGAAATCAAAAACCAAAATCTGGAGTTGCTTTGTATCCAACTGATTAGAGAAGAACTGTGGAAATTTAGAGACAGAGAGAGACACAGTGTGTTTCAAGACTGCCCAGAACACAGGGCGACGTGACTTTGAGCTACTAGTTACTCAGATTCCGGAAACTACACTGTTCCTATTTAAGAAGACAGATGGGTTTGCGTCAATGGTTAATCATGTTTTGTAACAGTGCTCTGTATTAAGCTCATTAGAGTAAGTGGTTCCATTTTGAAACAATGCTCAGATTTTAAACAAAGTGATTTGTTTTCTTGCTCATTAGATAGAACATACTAAGCTCAACAATTTTTTTCTCTGTAACCCTTGCATTCATTTCCCAGGCTAGAACTTTTATTTGTATGGAGAACTGGTGTAGAAAAGTACATTAAAATGGTGAAATTCTCCAGTTATTATTTTAAGTGGGGTGAAAACTGATCTTGGAACCATTGAAGGAAAACATGCCACTAGCAGGGAGTAGCCATTTAGTCCCAAACCCTCCTCCAACATTCAATCAGATCCTAGTTAGAACTATGTCCTAACTCTATATCTGCCTTTGCTAAACATTCCTTCATAACTTTGCTTAACTGAAATCTATCAATTGCAACTTTAAATGAGTAGTTAATCAATGTTCAAATTGCTACCATTGGTGTACATATAAATGTTTCCTAACTTAATTTCTGAAACGTCTGGCTCTAAATTAATAAAATATCACCCATGAGAAAAGGTTCAATAAAGAAAAACTCTCTGCTTCCCAAAAGTTTTGATTGAACCACCCTTAATCTTTGACATTCCAGAGAATACAATCCCAATATGCAATCTTCTCATTGGAGTAAAACAGTGCTGCTCTCCCACAGAGACTAATATATCATTGCTACAGTGTCATTCCCAGAACTAAATACACTACTCCACATAATACTACAGTACTCTATTTGGTCCACCCAAATCTTTGTCTGGCTGTACCATGACTTATAATCCCTGTTTTTTATAATCATCTTGATATGAACCCAGTATTTTAATAGACATTTTGATTATACCTTACACCTTTTGGAGATTTGTTAAATTAATGTACATGGAGACCCAGGTCTCTTTCGACCTTCACTGCTTCTAGCTTTTCACAATTAAGAACGTTTTCTGACCTTTCTTCAGTCCAAAATGGATGACCACACACACTTGGCCACGTTGAAATTCATTTAACACAGTTTTGCCTGTTCACTGAATCGATAAGTACAGGTAGTCCCTATTTAACATTGTGTCTCCATTCCTGGGAATTACTACTTTAAGTGAAATGACTTAAAAACGCATTATGGGTTCCCATGGAAATTGAGGTTAAAGCCAAAGTTAGGTTCCTTTAGATGTTATCTTGTCTGGAATTACAGTATCGTACATGTGCAACACTGTGCATTCCTAACTGAAATAACTTACAAAATGAAATAAATCACTGGATGAGTTAGGCCGAAGAGTCTGTTTCTGTGCTGTGTAACTCTATGACTGAAAACAGAGGAGATGCTGTTTAAAAAGAAAATCACATTCACTTGAAAGGGTTATCCAAGGATTGTTGAATGGTTTACCTTCACTTCTCCTGGTGGATCACTCTGTAATCTTTACTGCTATAAGTTATCATCCTGTTCACTTTGACACTGTGTGCTCTGTTTGGGTTATCCTCTGTGAGGATTTCCACTGCCTCTTCCATGATTTGGAAACCTGTTGGCAACACTCATTATAGATAACACTCAAGGGGTTGGTGTTCTGCCACAGGCTCATTAGCTGCATTAAATCCTCAGTGGACAATTCCTCTCCATGGAATGCAAACAATTTCACCGCATCAGCCCTATCCACTTCACCAAAACTAGCCTCCCTCACCTTGGTCATGATTTCACACTCAAACTCGGGAACAGGATTGCAAGAATCTCCTTCACCACTGACAACATTGGGCCACAGTTTCTGCCACAAACCACTGAGACACAATGACAAGATGTCATCCCACGCATCAGTGCAATTGTCAATGCCCTTGAAAATGTTGTGTGCTTGCTAAAACTCCCTGACTGATGGTGCTTTCTTACCATTTAGTGTCTTGATGAAATGGATAAGAGTATGGCATGGATAGTAAGCTTTGGATGGCTGTGTGGCTCCCTGATCCATGGGATGTATCATTGGAACATGGTGCATGGCAAATCGTGTCTCACTAACCTGATTGAGTTTTATGAAGGTGTGTAAAAAGAAGATTGATGAAAGCACAGTGGTGGACATTATCCAAATGGACTTCAGCAAGGCATTCGACAAGGTTCTGCATGGCAGACTGGTAGGCAAGGTTAGATCACATGGAATCCAGGGGAATCTAGCCTTTGGATGCAAAATTGGCTTGAAGGAAGGAGACAGCAGATGGTGGTGGAGAATTGTTTTTCGGACTGGAGACCCATGGTCAGCAGTGTGCCGGAAGGATGAGTGCTGGGTCCACTGCTGTTTGTTATTTATATAAATGATTTGGATATGAGTGTAGGAGGGATGATTAGTAAGTTTGAAGATGACACTGAAATTGCTAGTGTAGTGGACAGTGAAGAAGATTATCTCAGAGTGCAACAGGACCTTGATCAGATGGGCCGAGGAGTGGCACATGGAGTTTAACTTAATAAATGTGAGGTGCTGTATTTTAGAAAGGCAAATCAGGCCAGGACTTATACACTTAATGGTAAAGTCCTGGGGTGTGTTGCTGAACAAAGAGATCTTGGGGTGCAGGTTGATACTTCCTTGAAGGTGTAGTTGCATGTAGACAGGGTAATGAAAAAGGTGTTTGGTACACTTGCCTTTATTGGTTATTGCATTATTTATAGGGCTTGGGATGATGTGTTGTGGTTATACAGGACGTTGGTTAGGCCACTTTTGGAACACTGTATTCAGTTCCGGTCCCCCTGCTTTGGGAAAGATGTTGTTAAACTTGAAAGAGTGCAGAAAAGATTTACAGGAACTTTGCCAGGTTGGAGGGTTTGAGCTTCAGGGAGAGTCTGAATAGCCTGAGGCTATTTTCCCTGGAGTGCTGAAGGCTAGGGGTGACCCTATAGAAGTTTATAAAATTATTAGGGGTATGGATAGGGTGAATAACCAAAGTCTTTTTCCCAGGGTAGGGGAATCCAAAACTAGAGAGTATAGGTTTAAGGTGAGCAGGGAAAGATTTAAAAGGGATCTAAGGGGAAACGTTTCCATGCAGAGGGTGGTGTGTGTATGGAATGAGCTACCAAAGGAAGTGGTGGAGGCTGGTACAATCTAAAAGGCATCTGGATGGATACATGAATGGGAAAACCTTAAGAGGGATATGGGCCAAATGCTAGCAAATGGCACTAGATTAACTTAGGACATCTGGTCAGCATGGATGAGTTGGACTGGATGGTCTGTTTCTGTGCTGTACAAACTCTATAACTTTATAACAGGAGTAGGCCATTCAGCCCCTTATGCCTGTTACATCTTTCAATGAGATCGTGGCTGATCTGTGGCCTAACTCCATATACCTGCTTTTGGCCCATATCCATTAATATCTTTGCTTAACAAAAATGTATCTATCTCAGGTTTAAAATTAACGACTGATCTAACATCAACTGTCACTTGTGGAAGAGAGTTCCAAACATCTACCACCCTTTGTGTGTAGAAGTGCTTCCTAACATCTCTCCTGGGCAGTCTGGCTCTAATTCTCAGATGATACCTCCTAGTTGTAGAATCTCCCAACAGTGGAAATAGTTTATCTTTATCTACCCTGTCTTTTCCCGTTAATATCTTGAAGATTTTGATCTGATCACTCTTAACCTTCCAAATTCTAGAGAAAACAAGCCTAATTTGTATAATGTCTCCTCATAGCCTAACCCCTGAAGTCCAGGTATCATTCTTATAAACCTACATTGTACTGCCTCCAAGGCCAATGTATCTTTCTAAAGTGTGATGCCCAGATCCGCTCACAGTGCTCTAAGTGGGGTTAATCAGGGTTTTGTACAACTGCAGTATAACTTCTGTGTCCTTGTACTCCAGTCCTCTAGACCTAAAGGCCAGCATTCCATTAGCTTTCTTGATTATTTTCTGCACCTTTTCATGGTATTTTAAAGATCTATGCACCTTATTCTCCAAGTCTGTTTGGACATCCACTTTATGAATCTTAACCTAGAGAGTACCGTGTTCTATCCTTTTCTGGTCCAAAATGAATAAGCTCACACTTAGAATCCCTACACTGTGGAAACAGGCCAATCAGCCCAACAAGTCCACATCAACTCTCTGAGAGCATCCCAACCAGACTCACTCCCCTACCCTGTCCCTGCATTTCCCATGGCTAATCCACCTAACCTGCACATCTTTGGACTGTGGGAGGAAACCCACATAGACATAGGGAGGATATACAAACTCCATGCAGACAATCACCCGAGGCTGGAATTGAACCCAGGTCCCTGAGGTAGCAGTATTAACCACTGAGCCACTAAGCCTCCCTAACTTTTTTACATTGAACACCATCTGCCACAGTTTTGCACATTCACCTGGTATATCAATATCTCGTTGTATTTTTATGCTATCATCTACATTGTCTACAATTCCACCTAACTTTTGTTATTTGAATGTGTGACTTTCCATAACATTATCCAAGTGGTTAATAAATAATGCAAAGTCAGTATTGGGTGGAAAGTAAATCACTTTCACATTTTCAGATGTTTCAGTTGATGGCTATATTTTCTTTGGCACAATATGCCTTCCCAACAGGGAGAAAACACAGTGAGAACCATTCCTGAAAATACATGTCCATCAACTAGGCTTTCTTGAGTATCATATTAAATGGCAGATGTTTCTTGGAGTAACCCATCCGTGCTCATGGTATTTTGGACATTTAGCCCTCAGGGCAGTATCTTCAAATCTCCTGCCATGTTCCTATCAAAAAGACGATGTTTAATAGCTTTAAATTCTGGCTTATCTTCTCCTCAATTGAATTATATGTTCTCTAAACAAGTCTCATTTCATCAATATTAAAAACTTGTTTTGGTGAGTAGCCGCCTTCTTTAATGACTGCTTTCAAATGGGCATGGATTTGTTCAGCCTAGTGTTCAGTATTAGCCTCTTTGCCAGACACTTCCATATTGTACAGACAACAATGTCCCGCGAAATGGTCAAACCATCCACAACGAGCATGGAAACTAACCCACTGAGATCTCTCTAAGGCCTCATTCAGGGTTTTGGTTTGTTCTTGGGTGACCTTGTTGCTAAGAGGCTCTTTGATTAGTTTTGATCTTTGATCCAAAATCTTTCCATGACTATATGATGCTGTTTCCAAGTCTACTCACCCTTTCAGCACTTGAATGTGTAACACTGTGTGTAAAAACTGAAAGAACTGCGGACGCTGTAAATCAGGATCAAAAACAGAAGTTGCTGGAAAAGCTCAGCAGGTCTGGCAGCATCCGTGAAGAAAAAATCAGAGTTACTGTTTCGGCTCCAGTGACCCTTCCTCAGAACTGACCCTCACCAGAGCCGAAATGTTAACTCTGATTTTTTCTTCACGGATGCTGCCAGACCTGCTGAGCTTTTCCAGCAACTTCTGTTTTTAACACTGTGTGTATTTTGGTTTGATTTTGACCTCATTGACTCGATTGTTTTCACTTTTATAGGAATTAACCTAAGGATTCGAGCAATATTCGAGAATTCTCTTTCCCCTGCTGCGAGATGTTTTAATGTGTCTTGATTTCATTGCTAGGCTGATGGTTTCCTGTGATCACTTTATAAGGTGATTTGCTGAGGGCTTTTCCCACAGTAGCGCAGTCTAAAACCAGAGGGCATAGGCTTAAGGTGAGAACTGAAAGACTTAAAGGAAACTGACGGGTAACTTTTTCACGCAGAGGGTAGTGCGTGTATGGAACGAGCTGTCAGAGGAAGTGCTACAGGCAAGTACAATTACGACATTTAAAAGACGTGGACAAGTACATGGATAGGAAAGGTTTAGAGGGATATGAGCAGGAAAATGGGACTAGATCAGTTTAGGAAACCTGGTCGGCACGGATGAGTTGGGCCGAAGGGTCTGTTTCTGTACCGTATGACTCTACGATCTCTTTGCTGCAGCAAGCTCACTACCACCATTTTCTGGGTGCTTCTGCCTTGTGTTTAAAACCCTACGGGTCACACAGACTCCAGTCTCTCACCTCTCTCTTTCTCCTTTCCCACTCTGGTCTGTCTCTCTCCCACACCACTCTGCCTCTCTTTTTCTCTCCTTTTGCTTTCACTCTCTCAATCTGTCTTGCTTCCTCCTTTTAAAAACAATCAAATTCCTTTGAGTTACCATGGTGCCAATCAAATGGCATGTCAGGTCCGATGCTGGACAATGCACAATGTGGGAGTAAAATGAGAAATACTGATCTGGCATGAGAAAGCAGGTCATAGAGTCATAGATATGTACAGCATGGAAACAGACCCTTCGGTCCAACCCATCCATGCCAACCAGATATCCTAAATTAATCTAGTCCCATTTGCTAGCATTTGGCTCATAAGCCCTGGCAGCATCTGGAGGAAAGGAGCAATCAATATTATACAAAGTTCAAAGCTTGTTTTCCTAAGTATTTAGCTAGAAAGCCATTACCTTTGTTGTTTCATAAACTTCTTCTAGTTTAATGATATGTTCATGGTCCACCATCTTCAAGATGGCAATCTCCCTCTCCAGCATTTTAACAGCATGGCTTCCAGCCTGAAATGAAAAGATGGGAGTCTCGTTCGACCTCTACAGCAAATATCACAGCAAACCATTTGGATACAACACACAGAAAGGAGCTTTCTGTTTCCTGGGGCAGTGCAGTTGGCGTTTAGATTCCTACAATTCAAATATGTCAGTCAGAGCTTCTCTCCATGAATGTTAGCCAATGCCCCCTGCTGGAAGTATTATGTATTGGTGCCAGGTGTGCTGATCCATGATTGGTTGACTGTCCTATAAGTCACTGACCCCAGCATCAAAGCTGGCACTAAGTAATGGACACTTGGATGATGTAGCATTGTGGGTGGGGGATCTGTGATCTTCCAACACATGCTGGTGGCAATAAGGAACTTAAATAATCTCCCCAAAAATATCTGAAACATTTTGATAGTCTAGGAGAAATATTGGAATATTAAAAGTAGAAGTACAGGTTGCATGTTACCATGTAATATTCGATGACTGGTGGCGACAGCGAAGGGGCAGGTAAATGGGAAGCAAAACACATAATTGTTAAGTAGATTGAATAAGTTTGACAAAATGAAACTACATTGATCCCCACAAAGTGATATAATGGAAACTTTTTGTAGACCATTTTGATGGCCCCAAGGAAAAATCCATCTTAAGCACATCCATGCTCAATGATCTACACAATTATCTTTTTTATTGAAACCCTACAGTGTGGAAGCAGGCTATTCAGCCGGCAAAGTTCACACTGACCCTCCAAAGAACATCCTACTTAATCCCTGTAACTTTGCATTTCCCACAGCTAATCCAGCTAACCTACATACTTAACACAGCCAATCCATTTAACATACACAGTGCCTTTGGACTATGGGATTAAACAACAGCACCCACACAGACTTGGGGGAAATGTGCAAACACCACACAGACTATCACCTGAAGGTGGGATTGAACTCAGTTCCCTAGTACTGTGAGACAGCAGTGCTAAACACTGAGCCACTATGCAATCTGTGCAGTGAGAGGTGAATTAATTAAAACATATATATCCAGAGATGACTTGACTGGGTGGATACTGAAGGTATGTTCCTCATGGGACAATTTAGAAATAGGGGTCATAGTTTAAAGATAACAGGCCGCCCATTTAAGGCAGAGATGAAGAAAAACAATGTTCTTCGGAGGGTTAAGAACCTTTTGGAATTGTACTTCTTCAAAAAAGGCAGTAGATGCAGAATCTTTAAATATGTTTAAGGCAGATGTAAATAGATTCTCAATGACCAAGGAGATGAAAGATTATCAGGGATATACTGGAATGTACAGTTGAGGTTAAAATCGGATCAGCCACGATCTTATTGAATGACAGAATAGGCTTGAAGGGTCAAGCAGCTTACTCTTGTTCTGTGTTTATATGTTTGAATTAATTATTAGGTAATCAAATGTAGATGATAACACTGGTGCAGGAATGAGGAACTTTGGTTATGCATAAAAAGTGTAAATGAAAAGGTTGAAAGGAAATTTAGTAAGACCTATTCAAAGTCATGTATGTCTCCAGACATAGTAGATTTGGGAAAACTATTCCAACTGATGGAAGGATCGAGATTGAGAGAGCACAGACTTAGGCTGTTTGGCAAAACAAGTAATATTTTCACACAGCAAGTGGTCAGGACTTGGAGTGCAATGCCTGAGCTTTGGTTTGATTTGATTTGATTTATTGTTACAGATATTTATGACAAACAACAGTGAAAAAAATTGTTCTTTAGAGTCTCCACTCTCCAACGACATGTTAAAACACAGAAAATAAATGAATCAAAACACAAATAGTGTTGTGGAACCGGATTGAACTGAAGCAATCAAGGGGGACGTGAATCATTATCTGGAAAGGAAGGATGTATGGGGCTACAGTGGGATGTCAGGGAATAGCCTGAGTTGAATTGCTCCTTTTGAGAGCTAGCACAGGTGCAAATGGGCTGAGTGGCCTCCTTCTGTCCTGTAATCATTGTGTTATTCCATGATAACAGTGATGGTTTTGCCTCTGAGTCAGAAAGTTGTGGTTTGGACATCCCACTCCCGAGAGCTGAAAATATAATTTAGACCTTTTTAAAGAATTAGTTCTTGGGCTATTGTCATTGAGAACAAAGTTAGAATTTATGGCCGATCCCTAGAATGATACTTCAATGGAGCACCGAGGGAAGGCTGCCCTGTCAGAGATGCCATTTTTCAGTGAAATTGTGGTCCTGCCTGCTTTGAAAAGAATCCCATGACTTCATCCAATCCCAACAATTCTGGTCTCTCTGCTATGGAAAAGATGTGAAACTTGAAAGGGTTCAGAAAAGATTTACAAGGATGTTGCCAGGGTTGGAGAGTTTGAGCTATAGGGAGAGGCTGAATAGTTTGGGGCTGTTTTCCCTGGAACGTCAGAGGCTGAGGCGTGACCTTATAGAAGTTTATAAAATCACGGGGAGTATGGATACGGTGAATAGCCAAGGTCTTTACCCAAGGGAGGAGGTATCCAAAACTAGGATCCACAGAGGGTCTCGGTATAAGGTGGGAGGGGAAAGATTTAAAAGGGACCTAAGGGACAACTTTTTTCACAAGAGGGTGGTGTGTGTATGGAGTGAGCTGCCAGAGAAAGTAGTGAAGACTGGTCCAAATGCAACATTTAAAAGTCACCTAGATGCCTACATGAATAGGAAGGGTTTAGAGGGATATGAGCCCAATGTGGGCAAATGGGAATAGATTAATTTGGGATATCTGGTCAGCATGGACAAGTTGGACTGAAAGGTCTGTTTCCATGCTGTATATCTCTATGACTCTATAATACAATGCAAAGCAGGGCACAGATCTCCCCTGAAACAAAAGTAGAGATTGCTGGAAAAGCTCAGCAGGTCTGGGCAGCATCTGAGGAAAGAAATCAGTTAATGTTTTGGGTCAGAACAGAGTTTCCCAGAGAAAAACAGGTGGACAGACAAAGGAGTGGATAACAATCTGGCTAGGAGCATGAAAAGCTGTTAATGGAGACTGTTATTGGCTAACAATGCATTGTGTGTCATAGCAGAGTATGTGATTACAAAGCCTGGTGTGTGGGGCTGCGGTCTAGGACATCGGAGAATTTAAGACCTAAAGTTATTGAAATTGATATTAAGTTCAGAAGGCTGTAGGTCCCCAAGCAGAAAATGAGGTGTTGTTTTTCCAGCTTAACGACGAGCTTCACTGGAGAACTGCAGGAAGCCTGAGACAGAGATATTGGCCAGGGAACAGAGTAGTGTGTTAACATGGCAGGCAACTGGAAGCTCAGTGTCCTTTTTGTAGGCAGAACATAGGTGTTCTGTGAAGCAATCACCCCATCTATGCTTTGCTTCACCAGTGTAGGGGAGACCCACATTGTGAGCAGCGAATGCAGTAGACTAGATTGTGGGAAATGTAGGTAAAGGGCTGCTTCACTTGGAAGGTATGTTTGGGCCCTTGGATACTGAGGAGGGAGCAGGTAAATGGGAAGGTGTTACATCTTTGCTGGTTGCAGACAAAGGTGCTGTGGAGCTGTGGGGTCTGTTGTGAGTAAAGGAAGAGTGGGCCAGGGTGTCCTGGAGGGAGCGGTCCTGCGGAAGGCTGACAAGGAAGGGGAGGGAAATATGTGTCTAGTAGTGCTTTCCCTCTGGAGGTGGAGGAAATGGCAGCTAATAATTTTCTGGATGTAGATACTGTGGGATGGTGAGTGAGGACAAGGGGGACCGTATTGCTGTTGTGGGAGGGAAGAGAGGGGATGAGGGCTGAAGTGTAGGTGATGGTTTGGACCTGGTTGAGGGCCCTGTCAACAGTGGCACTGGGGAATCCTTTAGGAGCATATTGGCAGACTAGTAAATTGGAGCACAAGAATGGAAGATATGACTCCATGCAGAAAATTGTGAAGTGATATATTTAAGTTGGATGAATGAGGAGAGACAATATCAACCAAATAGTACAATGTTAAAAGAATTGTAGGAATAAAGAGACCTGATGATGAGCATGTGCAATGTTTGAAAGAAGCAAGATGTGTTACAAAAGCTGTTGGGAAGACATATGGGATCCTTGGATAAATTGACAGAAGCATTAAATATAAACATGAGGGTGTTCTGCTAAATCAGAATTTCCTGAACCTTGTTTCACTCTAACCCCAATTTGAGGTTTGAAAATTGTTGTCAGTCCTCTATAGGATCTACCAGGAGGGTGGGGATGGGCAGGGAGAAGGTATATGAGAGCAGGGGGCAGAGGGCAAAATAACTATGAAAGTGAGAGATGGGCGTCAGAGCTACATTGCTGCGTCTGAGCCTGAACCCCAAAATTTCAGCCTGTGATTCCAGTTGGGGTGCTGCTTCCACTTTAGGAAGCCCTGTGTTGAACATTTATAAAACCCTGTTTGAACCTCAGGTCCAATACTTCAGTCAGTTCTGAGGACCACATTTTTGGAAGGATGTCAAGGCCTCACCACAAATACAGGGAGGTTTCTTAAGTGAGGAATAAAGAACTTTGTTTATGTGCAGAACCTAGAGAAGTTGTGTTGTTCCACTTACAATGGAGAAAGTGCAAGGGTGTTCAAATGAAGGTGTTCAAGTTTTTGAAAATTTTGATTGAGTGAATGAGAGGCACTGCCCCCAGTGACAGAAGAAATAACCTGAAGATACATTGGCAAAGGGCCAGAGTCTTGATGAGGGGATTATTTCTATGTAACAACTTGTTCTGATCCAGAATACATTACCGATGACAAACATTTGCAGAACTTAGGGGAAAGGGTGAGGATATAAAATGTATTGGATAACTTACACTGACAAGACAGTCAAATGTATTCTGTAGCAATCTATGATTCTACGATATCTATTTGAATGTAAAGGCCAAACTGAATTGAACAGCCACTGCTGCCAACCTTGAGATTCCTCTAATTCTGGCTGTAATTATGGCCCTGTTCTCATTACCATATGGGAAATGGGCAACTAGGGATTTGCAGGAGTTTTTGCAGAAACATAGAAAAGAAGTTCCAGAGGTTTTCCACTATGCCAGAAAGAAGGACCCTATTTTCTGCTTGATAACATCAGAAAGTTGTTTAAATGTTCAGGAAACACTTCCTTGAGTGACGGGCAATTGGATGATGTAGCATCGTGGGTGCAGAATCTGTAATCTTCCAACATATGCTGGTGGCAATAAGGAACTTAGATAATCTCGCCCAAAATATCTGAAATGTTTTGAGAAATACTATGGCACGGTGGCACAGTGGTTAGCACTGCTGCCTCACAGCACCAGGGACCTGGGTTTGATTCCACCCTCGGGTGACTGACTATATGGAGTTTGCACATTCTCCCTGTGTCTGTGTGTATTTCCTCCGGGTGCTCCAGTTTCCTCCCACAGTCCAAAGATGTGCAGGCTGGGTGGATTGGCCATGCTAAATTGCCCCATAGTGTCTAGGGATGTGCAGGCTGGGTGGATTAGCCATGGGAAGTGCAGGGTTACAGGAATTGGGTAGGGTGCTCTTTGGAGGGCCTGTGTGAACTCAATGGGCTGAATGGCCTGCTTCCACACTGTAGGGATTCTATGATTACTAAATACCCAGTAAAAGTACAGTTTGCATGTAACCCCATGATATTTTATGACTCGGGGTGGCAGTGATTGGACAGGGAAATGGGAAGCAAAACAGATAATTCCTATCCTCCATGACCCTCTTCCAACCACTGGGCCTAACAGACCCCTAAACAGCACAGTATTGTGCTTTTCCTTACCTGTATTTTTTAAACATCCCCATGGCCCAGGTACGAATGGTTACCATTTATTCTGTGGCAACTGGACAGCTGAGACACAAGGAGCAGCATCTCAATATCTAAACTCTCTTCATACTTCTCCTTTGGTCATTCAGAAGAAGAGAGCTTTCTCTACTCCACATCCCCATACATTTCCCTATACTACGGATAACACGGGCCAAGCCTGACCAAGGTTAAGGAATCATGAACTGAGTGGAGAATTCAATTTCTTTTAGGAAGCAGGTTACCTTTTCCTTATTTAGTTTCTTTATGGCCCACGTTGTGTCTGTGGAGATATGTGTAGCTTGGACGACAACACCAAAGCTGCCTTTCCCCAGATCTCGTCCAAACTGGTAGATCATCTGAAAGACAATTGAAAGAGACATTGTGAATAACAGCTGACAGTTAATGCAGCAGTCGTTAAAAAAAAACTCACAACCTATATTTTAATTGTGACCCAAACTAACACAAATCAATCAGGCCATTTTTCACTGGCATTTCTGATCTCAGCTCCCTCAGGAATGTGGAGTATGCCTGAAACCGAACAATTCCCTCGGACCGTGTGATGGTCGGGGGAATTCTAACCATACCCCCTTTCCATGGCAGTATTTCCTGTACCCCACCCTCACTCTCCGACAGTGATCACTCCTCCTTCACCCTCCGACAGTGATCACCTCACCCTCTAGCAGTGATCTCCCTCCCTCACACTCTGACAGTTATCACTCCTCCCTCACACTCTGACAGAGATCACCCTCCCTCACACTCGGAAAGAGATCACACTCCCTCACCCTCTGACAGTGATCACCCTCCCTCACTCTCTGACTGTGATCACCTCCCTCACCCTTTGACAGAAATCACCCTCCCTCACCCTCTGACAGTGATCACCCTCCCTCACCCTCTGACAG